CTGACCTTTGTTTCCTGTTGATCATATTGTGGTGCATTTCAACACAGGGGTGAAACATGCACTTTCCTGACCTTGGAGCGGCGCCACCGTGGACTTTCCTGACCCCAGGTCATGGTTCTTACTGTGCTGTGTGACCTTGTGATTCATTCAATAGCCACATTCTTGATGGAATGCATATACACAATTTTAAAACACCCCTTTTTAGGAATATTACTCATTTATGAAAAGGAACGCATTTGAGTCAGTTCTGATGAGATGGATAAACTTGCAGCCTATTATACAGAGAAAGTAGGTCAGAAAGAGAAAAACAAATGTCGCATATTGACGCATATATATGGAATCTAGAGAGATGGTACTGATGAATCTATTTGTAGGGCAGCAATGGTGATGCAGCCATAGAGAATGGACTTGGGGACGTGGGGGCGGGAGGAGGAAGGTGAGGGTGGGATGAATGGAGAGAGTAGCGTGGAAGAATATCCACCACCATGTGTAAAATAGATAGCGTTTGGGGATTTGCTGTATGACTCAGGCAACGCGAACCTGGGCTCTGTCACAACCTAGAGGGTAAGACGGGGGTGGGAGGTGGGAGGAGGCTCAGGAGGGAGGGACTTGGGTACACCTATGGCTGAGTCGTGTTGGTGTATGGCAGAAATGGACACAATATTGTAAAGCAATTATCCTTCCACTAAAAATAAATGTTTTAAAAATGATGAGAAAAAAATAAAACTCCCCATTTTACAGGTGACAAAATGGAGGCCTAGGGAGGACAGTCACTTGTCCAAGCTAATATGTGCCAGAGACAATGTTTAAATCCAGGCCTGCAAGACTCCAGGGCCTAGATTTGAAGCCTCTAGACCTGGAAGTCTTTATCTGAGGTCCAGGCACCCCTAGAATTCAGGGGCCCCAGGAACTTGGATGGAAAACAAAATTGTATGTTTTTCCCTAAACTCATTCTGAACTTTAGCTTTTCTCTCATTTATGAAGGCAGATTGCAGTCATGTCAGCAGTAACAGTGGGTTTGTCACTAATGGAAACAAGATATTTTCTTTCCCTTTTGGCCACGCCTTGCAACATTTGGGATCGTATTTCCCCAACAAGGAATGGAACCCATTCAATCCTGCTGCATTCCTGCTGCAGTCCTAACCACTGGACCATCAGGGAAGCGCCCAGAAAACACAGATATTTTCACAGCACATTTCAATTGCAGCTCTGGAAATATCATTTAGACTCATCATCAGTCTAAGATGATGCCACTAAATCTTGTTTTTGAACACGTTTCTGAGAAGAATGCACTATATCACACATTTGGTTTATTTTTGATTTTTAATAAAACTGACTTTTGTGGGGATCTTATGAATTAAAGTGTTTTTTTATTTTATTATTATGTTTTTAATCATGGGCTTCCCTGGTTGGCTCAGACGGTAAACGGTCTGTCTGCAATGCTGGAGACCCGGGTTGGGTCCCTCGGTCGGGAAGATCCCCTGGAGGAGGAAATGGCAACCCACCCCAGTATTCTTGCCTGGAAAATCCCATGGACAGAGGAGTCTGGTAGGCTACAGTCCATCGGGTTGCAAAGAGTCGGACACAACTGAGCGACTTTACTTACTTCACAGCAAATTTAACATGAGGTGTACTATTTTTAAAAGTACAATCGAGTGCATGAAGTACACACACGATGCTGTAAAACCACAAGAATGTCTAGTTCCAGAAACTTCTCATCACCCCAAAGAAAACCCTGCATATATTAAGCAGCACATCCCATTCTCCCCTCCCCTAGTCTCTGCCAACCACTGATCTGCTTTTTGTGTCCACAGATTTGCCAGTTCTGGATATTTCATAGAAATGGAATCATGTGCAAAGTGTGACTTTGTGTGATTGACTTCTTCTTTTTCTGGTTTGATATTTATTCATGCTAAAAAAATACTTTGTGATGATATACGAAGAATATTAGATATCTTTAAAATTGCCTTTTTTTTTTCTTTTGAACTTTATTTTGTATTGGGGTATCGACAACTAACCAGGAGGGCATGGCATCCCATTCCAGTATTCTTCCCTGGAGAATCCCCATGAAGAGAGGAGCCTGGCGGGCTACAGTCCATGGGGTTGCAAAGAGTCAGACATGAGTGAACGACTAAGCATAGCACACAGCCGACTGACAACGATGTTGTGATAACTTCAGGTGAACAGCAAAGAGACTCAGCCGTAGCGTGTGCTTGGCTTCTTTAAGGAAATTAACCGGATGCCGTTAAAAACATTATCCTGAAACTATTGTGCACCTTCATGTGTGAATGGGCAAAAGAGGATTTGGAGCAAACCTCCCAATGTTTCAATTGACTTTAGCAGGAAAAGAAGTGTGTAATGGGTAATACATGCTAGAATCTACCCAAGTTGCTTTTTCGTTTGTTTAAACATTTCTAATTTTTATTTATTTGGCTGTGCTGGGTGTTAGTGGTGGCATGCAGAGTCTTTAGTTTGCAGCGTGGGGGATCATTAGTTGTGATATGTGGGATCTCGTTTCCTGGCCAGGGATGGAACCTGGGCCCCCTGGTTTGGCAGCGCAGAGTCTTAGCCGCTGGACCACCAGGGTTTAACAAGTGTAGGTGTGACACCTGACTGAACTCTCACAACCTTCCTGGGGAAGGGGTTGGACGTTATCCCCATCTGACAGGTGAGGGAAGAGAGGCACGGCCGGGTCTGAGAGCCACACAGGCAGTGCTGGAGGCCGTCGGACATGACTTAGCAACTAGACAGCCACAACCACCAGGGCCAGGGCAGTCTCCCAGTCGTGTCCGACTCGTTGCGGCCCCGTGGACTGTCGCCCACCAGGCTCCTGCATCCATGGACTATTCCAGGCAAGAGTACTGGAGTGGGTTGCCATCTCCTTCTCCAGGGCATCTTCCCGACCCGGGGATCAAAGCCAGGTCTCCCGCACTGCAGGCAGACGCTTGACTGTCTGAGCTACCAGGGGAGCCCCAACAGGGGCGGCACCGGGGAGGCCCTACACAAGTGCCTGCACTTCTCCCGTGCTCATGTCTGTCCCCTGTCCGTCCGTCTCGGGGCTTCTGGGTTTCCCTCTTCATGTCTCGTTATCTCTCTGCCTGCCTCCTTGCCATACCTGTCCTCTCAGATCTCAGGTATCACCATTTCCACCTTTGTGCCTCCTTCCCTGACAATAAAACGTGTCCCACTCCCAGGGTGATTAGCAAACCACCCTGTACCCAGCACGGGTGGATGCTGATCAAACTAAATGTGTACAGGTGATAGACAACCAGGAAGGACAACCCAGGGCTTGATGCCTGTATGTTACCTGTCACTATGGGAATTTACTGAATGTATCACCGTTTATTGTTATCTGACCCTCCCGCTAGAATGTTAGCTCTGTGAGAGTGAAGATATTCACATTTTGTTCACTACTGCGTCCCCAGTGCCTAAAACAGGGCCTGGCACACAGTAGGCACCCAATAATGGCTTATTGAAAGAATGAGTAAACGTCTGCTGTGTCCTTTGAGATCTCGCCATACCCTTGTCATGGGTGTTTGTCTCAGTCATGTCTCAAGTCTTTCTGGGTCTGTCTGTCTCTCTGCCTTCCTCAGTCTTGGTCTCTGAGTCTCTGTGTCTCTCTGTGTGGCCACGATGCATTCATAGAACACTTACTTTGGCCCAGGCGCCCTGCACATTGGGTCTCATACTCATTCTCATAAATATCCTATTGGGTAGGTACCCACATTTTCCTGATGAGCAAACCGGAAGCTCAAAGAGCAGCAGACACTTGCCTAAGAGATTGTGATGTGTCCTCCAAATAGACTGGGAGCTCGTGTCAAGTCCCCTCCCCTCTTGCTGAGTGATTGACAGCTCATGTTCACAATCTAAGGGCTCGGAGAAGTCCTGTGGGAAAGAAAGCAGTTTGTATACCTGCCGGGAGCCGTTATGGTGGGGTCCCGCCCGTGACGAGGTCATGAAGAAAATACCTGACAGGCAAGGCCGTCTAGGATAAGGGACCCTCCAGGTTGGCCTCGGCCTCTATCCTACCCTGGATCCTCCCCCCTTTTTCTGCTGTTCTTATTTGCCCTGCTGCAGAT